GAAATTTTTTGAACGGTTTCGCTAATTAAAAGTCCACGCGTGCCTCTATAGTCCTGAATATTGAATAAATGCAATTTGTCTTGAAAAATTGTGAAATACTGCATTTTGTACGAGGTCTGTATGATAAAAACAGCGCCTCATAGTACTCTTTCTCCTCGGATGTGGTGTATAAAAAAAAATAAAAGATTGGCTTGCACGGCCCAGATTTATTGGCAAGAATTTGTAAACTTGTCGAACGCAAAAAATTCGGTCTGATTTGTTTTCCAAGAATTTGTTTTGCACGCCTTATATATCTATCTACTGTGATCAAGAGCCATCATTAATTGCTCTTAAATGTGACCGAAGACTATTTTTTGGGTTTACATATAAGGCTATATAAACTCGATACAAAATTTGTTTCACTCCAAAATCACTTAGCTTTCCCCTCAAAAGTCACATGAATGTGCCCTTACGTTAACTGATTTGTGAAATACAAAATTATTGTTTGATTTAAGTTATAAATTTATCAATGGGAGCTTCGCTTTTAGCTGTGGCTAAATATATATATTATACAATGTTGCCCTTTCAATCAGGGTCACTCTGGCGTGTTTCGCTTTTTGTAGTTTTTATTTTACGGTTTGTAAAAACAGGCACACCCACTCCCTTATCATTCCCCAATATTCGGTCGGATCCAGCGCCGTAAAAAGAGCTAAACTCGACGGTTCTTTGTTCAAATTTTTTGTCGAACAATTCGGGAATCCTTATTCCAATACTTCCAAGCAGCGAAAGTCTCCGATTAGATCTTTCTTTTCTCGAAATTTTTAATCGAGGTTCTTTATCGCAGTAAAACAACTGTTCTTAGCTTTAGAATATCAACTTTTTGGAGTAATCTGGCCCCTAATATCATTTCAACTGAACGCAATGACCTCTGCTTTACCCTCTGTTTTGGAAGCCATTTTCAATCCGGAATTTAAAAAGTCCGGGAAAGTCCGGTAGTGCCAGGCTCCCGCGCGGCATGAAATTAGGTAATGGACTATAGAAAACATGCATAAGGCTTCAGCTAAATTAAAGTTAAAATTTCTATTTCATAAACTTGTATGTAACGTTGGCGTGGTCAAACAATTACGCTAGAGGAGATTTGAAAGATAAATTTTAAGTACAGTCTTATTTCAGGATACGATCTATCAAACGCACCCTTCAAATCAAACTTTAGGGTTAAAATAAAAAAAAACAAAACAGAACAAAACAAAAAAAAAAAAAAAAAAACGCATTTCATACATTTATCTCAATCCGAAAACCAAAAGAATCTCCCAGGCGGGGAATCGAACCCCGGTCTCACACCAATATACTACCGAGGAACTGAGTGCCTTAGATTTAGGCTTAATGGGCTATATAATGGGGAAACGCCCCATCTCATTTTAAAGTGAACTTTGTCTTAACTATGACCGCCAAATTTACCCCTTTTCCCCATAATATGGGAACTATTTACCGCGGATTTTTGACAGGAAACTTTTACCACTACACTTTAACTATAAGTTTCTGTCTTCTAGTTTCGATGGTCAGAATGGAGAAGAATTGAAACTTAAACATTTTATACAACAGTCATAGTCTCTTGTTTAACTCCTGAATTATCAAACATGACCCAAAACAAATGACACTTTCGTTTAGTTTTGATATAATCATTTGATGTCCTTTTTTTTTTTTAGAGTTTCAGATATGAACAAAAATAACTGAGAATACTGAGTTGTTAATTCCTAATCAGACCGGGCTTGTTTTTCTCCCTGCGACCCGGGGTTGGGGGGGGGGGAGGGGTTGGATACAAATTCCTGTCAAAAAACCCGTTGTAAATTGTTCCCACTTTCTCTATGAAAAGAGGTAAGTTTGGCGGTCATAGTTAAGACGATCTTGAAGTTATCTTACTTTAAAGTGAGATGGGGCGTTTCCCCATTACATAACCCATTAAGCCTAAATCTAACCATTCAATTCCTCGGTAGTATAGTGGTGAGTATCCCCGCCTGTCACGCGGGAGACCGGGGTTCGATTCCCCGCCGGGGAGATTCTTTTGGTTTTCGGATTAAGATGAATGCTTGCAATGCCTTTTTTTCTTAACCTTGAACGTTCGATTTGAAGGGTGCGTTTGATTCATCGTACTTTAGAATAAGATTACAAAAATGCGTAATTTTTCCACCTGGTAAACGCTGCACACAAGTTTATTAAATAAAAAGTTAACTTCAATTTAGTCGAAGCCCAATGCATGTTTCCTATAGCCCATGCACAGGCCCAGACTTCAATAGCGAAATACCAATTTGTCTCTCCTGGGCTCCTGGTCTCCCTTAGTTCGGCTCTCACCATGAGCTATAGGAAACATGAGTTTCGACTAAATAAAGGTTACATTGAAGCAGTCTCTTGTCGTTCCTGGTCATTTCTGCCGTATATTTCTTGTGCTATAGCCTGGAAACATGCTTTGTTTTGATTCAGAAGTCGATCTGCAGAAATGATTAGAAAGGACAAAAGACTACTTCAAAGTAAGTAATTCAACTTTATTAAATTAAAATTGAACTGTTATTTAGTCAAAACCCATCCCCTCACGGTTAAGTAATTTGTACGGATTTGCCTGATTCAAAGAAAAAAGTAAAGTGTTTCCGGCCAAATTTGAACTGGCGACCTTCCGCGTGTGAGGCGGACGTGATAACCACTACACTACGGAAACCACAGTTAGCAAATTTTCTACTGTTTATTTGTTTTCTTTGTTTTGAATCTATATAAGATAAAGCAGGAGGATGAATAAAGATGAGGCTATAGGGGTATTGCGCTAATTTGCGAAGGAAAAACATATTTTACAAACAGTGTCAAAATAACAATAGGAAGAATTGCGAGGCGGTAATAATGGACCGAGTAATGTAACCTCAAGCAGACCATTTTTCAGTTGTTCAGTTGGTAACCTAAGCTTCAATTGAGTGTGAGGCCGAGGTTGGCCTTGTTTTGATACAAACCTCTTTTGTTTTCTCATGGAAATTATAGTTGAAAAATGCCGGAATAACATGGGCTCGAAACAGTAGGCCACTCGCCCAAGATGCGCCATGTTCAAGCACAACATACACAAGTAATTTGGCTCGATACCATAACCGTGAAACAATGGAAACAATCATAAATAATAATTTTTTATTCTTTCTGCGACCAATCAGGAAACACCTTACGAGCAGCTCCTACATGCATTACTGAAAAATAATGGCTCCCCAATCTCCCAATTGCCGCGCGTGAAAATATTAAAGGGGGTAAAAATGTTTTGAAAATCACATTTAGAATTGGCCTCGAACTGAAAAAGACCGGTATTTACATATTTTCGAGTTTAAAAAGATAGTTCTCATACCTTCCTTAATTCGTTCTTTTTTGAGCAGGGCAACTGCGCGCTCGAGGCGTGCGCTGCGGAACCCCATACCTAGAAGAAGATGGAAACCTATCAAAGACAGAAAATTTGGTTATGACGTCAGCGTACTCTGTCCGTCTCTAGAGACTCTGGGGGCAGAGGTAAAAAATTCAGTAGGGTACTGATGGGAGTCCCAGGCATATATATCGCGTTTCGTTTTGGCGCAAAATTTTGTTGTGTTCGCCTTAAGACAAAATTTTTTGAAATAAATTTCCAAAGCCTTACTTTTTAGTTACGGTTTTGGTCACACTCCAGCAACAATCCAGTCCCCCTCCCCGCTTGGCCAAAATTTGGACAGGTGAATTCAAGCATGAAAATTTACTCAGCATCTCGAAATTTGTTTGTCGACAGACTGCTTCCTGCGACCAGGGGGCGGAGGGAGATGCTTTTTGATAAACATGCCTCTCAAAAATCCATGGTAAATTGATCCCACATTGTACGAAATTAAAGCTGGTAAGTTGGCGTTTATAGTTAAGAGGATCTTGAAGTTTTGCTTTAAAGTGATGGAGGACGTTTCCCCATTGCATGGACCATTAAACTTACATTCAACGCATTCAATTCCTCGGTAGTATAGTGGTGAGTATCCCCGCCTGTCACGCGGGAGACCGGGGTTCGATTCCCCGCCGGGGAGATTCTTTTGGTTTTCGGATTAAGATGCTTGGAATGCTTTTTTGAACCATGAAGTTTGAATTTAAAGGGTTCGATTGATTGATCGTAATCCAAACTACAAAAGAAACTTCAGATCTAATCAGAAATATAACACAAACAAACAAGTTCGGTAACTGACCAGATTTATTTATTACCAAGTAAATCAATTCCAATTTCAGACTTTTTGAAAAAGTACTAGTACTTTGATTTCAAACCAAATAACTAAGACGCCATTTACATGATACCGGAATGACATTCACTCCAGAATGAGTTTCCTTCCAGAGATAAAATCGTACTGCATCGACACGAGCGAAGTTCTCGCTCACATGGTTTTGCGTTGCGCAGGATCAGATACTCATGCGCTACTGGCTCCAAACTACAAAGAACAACAACAAATTATCATTTCACTTAAATTTTCAATCAGTTTGGGTGTTCGGTGAGATAAATCCCAGTCCACGCTCCCGAGTATTTACTTCCACATCCGTGGATTGCAGTCCTCATTCGCGCTTATTCTCTTCCGTTATAGCCCGATTAGCTGTTCAGAAAAACCGCTTCAAAATGTGGCAAAGAATCTAAAAACTGTTAAAACCGAAAAACATAAAACAAAACAAAAAGAACAAAAATACATACGATTTTTGAAATTTAAACACCATTGATCCATCAAACTTTGAGGTGAATCAGATAGAAGGTGCAAAAATAATTTTCAAGAGAGCCTTTCAGGCGTCGTCTGTTCCCAACGTGACCGTCGTTGGCGTTGTACCTCCTGTCGCAAGAAATATTCCGGAAAAGTTGTCGCCTTAAGATTCCATCCTGCCACTTATCACTGAGAAATAGCTTTGAAATCGAGAGTGATCACAGTGTCACGTGACAAACTTAACTCAGCAATGGCGCAATCACTGAATATTGACCCTCGGCAAGGCTTGTTATTCCTACTGTGGCTCCAGCGCAGAATAATCTTGAGCGCCTGACGATATTTTGGAATTCGCCATGCGTACAAAAAAGGGTCCAGCAGGAATTTCAAGTAAAGCACGTTTTCCACGATGAGGCTGGCGATAAGAAATTCTGGACTGTTAGGATCCTCACTGGAGTAGAGACTTACCATCCCTAAAATAGTGACCGGCTGAGAACAGAGAAACAAAATGGCGACCAGAAAAAAGTTGACAACGATAAACTTGCGCTCCAAACAAGTTCGCCTCCCTCTACCCTCCGTTCTCTGATCTTCTTGAAGACTTCTTGAAGCGGCTGCCTTTTTCTTGAAAGTGATGAATAAAAATATGTAAAATATTATGATCAGGTATGTTAAAATTATGGAATGAAATATCGTGTCAAATTTTAATAAGGAGTCTCTGTGGACCCCCATTTTAGGCAACAGAGTCAGCAATATGGCGTATGCATATATTCCAATGATGCAAATAATCACGCGACATTTCGTAACTTTCTGTGCGTACTTTAGAGGAGAAATTACCACAATGAATAGCGCGATGGTGAATGAAAGCACGATTATAAAGGAACAATTCATTGCAACCAGAGATATATGTTGACCGACGGTGATGAGAGTTTGACATGTCTTACCAGTCTCACGATGTTTAATGTATATCATAGTGAAACATGTAGCATACATAGGTTGCTGTGTCGTGGCTGTTAAAATATCGGCAATAGAAAGACCTACGAGGAAATAAGTTGTAGCTTTCCTGAAGATCTTCAAAGGATCGAACAAAAACACCAGGAGCAACAAACCATTTGCGATGATGGATAAAAATGAAGCGATGAACATGTAGATTGCGGAACCAAAAGCAAACTTGAAGAAAATTTCGTAGGCATCCTCTAAAACGTTATCTGGTGGCAGTAAAAATGATGAATTGAATGTAAAATTGGTTGTAGAGTTTAAGTTGAATCTTATATTTGATACTGAGTCCATTTTTTTGGAAATCGTTTGAAGCTGCAGATTATTGCTTTTTGTGTCCAGATATGTTCTTGTTATATATATTTACTATAATGAAGCCAAATTAAATATGAAAAAGCACGGCTTCATCAATACTGTTATTCTTTTAATTACAATTTCTCTATTTGGCTCTCCCGAAATTTTCTTATGTAAATCTGAACTGTTTGATTTTTGTAACACTATGCCATGCCGATGGCCCTAAGTGGCATCTGTTGAAATTATATCCTTATCCGGTGTGCATCATCTATTTTATGACTTTGTTTTTGTCATAGTGTCTTACACTTTGTCGTTTTTTTTTTTTTAGAAATTTCAAATCAAAACGAATTATTAACGATTACCTGAATTGAAAGACTGGAGTTTTATTTTCAAAACTTAGCAAAAGACGTGCTTGAATGATGGCCAAATCTGGGGCAAACAAGACAAAATCTTTTTTTTTTTCTTATACATGTATATTTTGTTTTTTTTTCCGGAGTTAACAATATCCCTGACGGATTTAGCGATAATTGGAAAGAAGCGAAATTCAAGAAAATTGACCCTTATCAATCAGGGTTTTTTCCTCCCTCGGAAACAATTTCTTTTCATTTTTCTTTCTCGCAGTGCCGCAAACATTGTGTCCAGTATACGTATCACAGATAGATGCATTTTGTGACTTGTTGGGAGGGAATCTTGCACATTATACTGATTCGTAAATGCCATACAGCTAACTGCTTTCAAACTTAAAATTTGCTAAGGATTACGCCATTCAGTCCGCTTTCGAATAATCTGGATTCTGATTTGCTTTAGAAATTAACGATTTATTAAAAAAAAAAAAAAAAAAAAAAAACTGCTCTAAATCTGAAACTCACTTCGTTTTGCAATCTTGAGAATAAAATTGCAATCAAAATAGAAATGTTATGGACAGCACGTTGCTGAGCATTTCATTGCAACAGTTTTAAACATGTTGAAGTTCGACGAGAGAAGATTTTAGAGCCGTACATTGGTGATCAAACAAGACCTACCTCATTGAACAACATTGGGTGGATTGTTTCGTGTAGCTTACAGCCTAATAAGGAAAGCCAGTGAAAGGAAATGTTCTTTTACTCTGGAAGTGACGCATTATAAATAAGTAAAATTTCCAAAAGAATGCTAAATATACTAAGAGAGTTGCCGAGCACTCTTCTTTCATCAGTAGTTTGCCAAGCCGATATGTAATACTAGTCAATTCTTATTTCCTTTTAGTTGTATCAACCCCCGGAAATAGAGAAACGACTGTATAAGTATAGGTAATAGCATGATTTGTAGTGACATTTGGCATAAATAGCACGAGTAATATTTCGAAATTGTGATACAATTGAGACAATTTTGAAATATCACAAGTGGTAGTTATGCCAAATATCACGATATTTGGCATATTGGTTT